GTTCTCCCATGTAAACTATCATATAATTCACAATAAAACATTTTTTAAAAAAAGGCAATGGGATGACATGCACAAAACTCTGAAAGATTGCCAACCAAGAATCATACTCAGAAAAGCTGTCCCTAAGATATGATACCGAAGGTGCTCCCTGTGACCCTGGCCTTTCCCACAGGCACACCTGGCAGCTCAGCTCCCCCAGACTCATACAAGTGTTGGATGTGGGACCCTGCATTTCATTAAGAACTCAGGCCTCACTGGAAATATTCAAGAACAGCTTGGACAACCACTATTCCAGAAAATAAAAGAAACTCATGCATCCGAAGAGGTTTGTATATGGTGACTAATAACCATACCAAAAAAATATGGCTGCACAAATACCAGAATCTGATCAGATAAAACAACTTAAGGAATTTCTTGGAACCTACAATAAACTTCGACACCTGCTTTTTGGACCGTGTTAAGGACTTCCCAATAAGAGAAGTAAAACCAGGAGAGACCACCTGTTCAGAGCATTGCTTACAGAAATATTTTTAAATGACACAGACTGTCCATGAGATTTCAGGAATATTATACTCAGTAGAATGAAGCTCTGGCAGCCAAAGCAGGACTCCTTGGCCAGCCACGATGGACACGTCCTGATGGTTGGACTTTTGATGCAATATTGTTAACACTGGGAATGAGGATTCATATGATAGAATCTCATAAAAGCCAAAGTCACCAGGCTAAACTGTCCGACAAATGGAAACTACTGAAGACAAGAAATAGCTGTGTACCAGGAATAATCAAATAGGTCATGTTCAATGAAAATAAAGATTCAATGCTTATTGGGGCCTTAAGATTCAGCAACTTAGTCACTTAATTAGAAAAATAAACCATTGTTTCTTGAATTGTGACTGTTAATTTTCTAGCAAAATATATGCCCGATCATGTATGAGATAGAAAATAATTTTTATTACTAAAAGTAAAATAAATGGAAGTATCACTAAGCAGTTGTTTATACTATATAATACCATAATATTCTGACTGGACTATGGATACATTGAAATGCTTTTCAATCAGGATCATCCTCCAAGTATTCCTGTTCATTTATGTCTGCCTCAAATTGCTGGTAAATAGTTACTTGATAATCATTTCAAGGCAGAAAAAAAAAAATTATGATACCAAAATTAGTACATTTCCTGATAAACAGAAATTAAAGCAATTTGTTATAAGACCAAATTTATGAAAAATTCTAAAGGGACATGCTGTCTTCTCTGCACTAGGAGCAGCTTTCCTGCCGCAGCCCCACCCGCTGAAAATGTACACCTACAGAGCAAAAAGAGGGGAATAGTATACAGAACTTCCAAATGTCAAGGAAGTCAAGTAGATTTCAAGATAAGACTGATTTAAAGAAAAATTTTAATTACAAAGTAAACCTGTAATTTACCTTAAAAATGCACCTGTACAACAAAATTTTAAATCAGATTTAGTAAACATTAGCACAACAGAAATGAAAATGAAAACCTACAAAGTGAACTCAGTGCAGAAAATCATATGGAAAAAAGAAACCAGCAGTACCATACACAAAAAAGAACAAAATGACAGCTATCAACTCATACCTATTGATAATTACACTGAATGCAAATGGGTTAAATGCACAAGAGACATAAAGAACTGAATGGATAAGAAAACAGGATCCTTCAATATGCTGTCTATAAGAGACACCGACTATCAAAAAGATGAAGACAGCCTAAATGCCCATCAACAGAACGGCTGAGCAAACTTTGGTATGTACGCACAATGGGCTACTACTGAAACGTTGAAGAGTAATGATCCATCTGTGAAATACCTCACCACAAAAATGATCCAAAAGGAATTTTGAGTGAAATTAATCACAAAAGGACAAATATTGTTGAGATCAATGTCATAAGAAAAGGTTTTCTTAACAAAATAACCTATGATGATTATAAGGAGTAGTAGGAAAAATTATTCACAGGCTAGAAGGTAGACACATGTTAGTATGGGTGACAGTGCAGGTAACATACAAGAGGAAGGTTAGCAGAGAAAAGATGAAGGTAGTGGGTAGCACAAGGTAGAATCTAATAGTTTTAAGTGAATAGAGGTAAATACTGTTGCAATCATTGTAATAAAGCAAAGTATATGATTTGCTGAATGTAAAATTGATCTGTTCTGTAAACCTTCACTCAATTCACAAGTTTTGCGTTGTTTTTTTTTAAAAGAAAATTTACCAGTGGTATTGTTATTCAATACTAAAGTACCTGTTAAATTATCTGAGTTTCAAATGTCTCTTGTTAAGTACCTTGAGTCAGTTCCAACTCATATTGACCCTGCAAAGGATTTCCAAGCAGCAGCTGTGGGTTTAAATCACCGACTATCAGGTTAGCAGTCTAGTGCTTATCCTACAGCACCACACCAGGACTCTCATCTCATAACTAAACATCCTAATTAGGTATTTAGCATTTTAATCAGCTTATAGATAAAATGCTTTCTTTTTAGACTTATTAAAACTATTTCTGGAGTCCTAGTGTGGTACTGTAAAACAAGCACAGGATTGCTAACCACAGGCTCAGCAGTTCAAACCCACCAGCTGCTTGGAAGCCATATACGGGTCGCTATGAGTCTGAACCAACTTGACGGCATTTAACAATTGCTGTGATAATAGCCTTGTAGTCATTTTTCTTACTCTTTTGAGAGATATACACTGATATTTATTAAATTCAGCAACTTGTACTTGTTTCAAACTAACATGAAGTTATGGAGGGTCACGTGGATAGGAGAATAAGATGAAACTAGATTAAGTCTTTATGTATATGTACAAATATACACCAAGTGTCTTTGATGTTAAAAATATTTAGCAGAGATTCCATTCCAATGGACATCTGATGTTTAAAGAGGGACTGTACATGGGTAATACCCATGGGACAATAGTTCTGCGTCTCCCTAACCATGGTCATCAGCACCACGGACAGACTGTCTCAGTCCCCGAGTAGCCACTGCCAGGTTTCTCATCATTGTTCATAGTCTACAACCCCAAATGGTTCTTAGTCCAACTCCAGATTTTTTCAAATTCAATATTCCGGCAAAGGCAACAATGACTATGATTACACATATTGCAGATAATCTCAAACCCATAATGCTTCAAAGATCAAAGCCATACACATTTAAAATACATAGAAAAATAATATAATTAGAATTCATACAAAGCAGATTTTTACAAAACAAGTACACTACAAGAAATACATCTTATATATCCAAAGTCAAAAATGTGGACATATACATTGAAGTATATATTTAAGAAAAAACATTTATTTTTAAATGCTGAGTGGGAAGGCATAGATTGAGGCTTGGTTTACTGTAAGAATTCTGAAAACTTCAACTTGTTAACAGAAAGTTCCATTCCATTTCCAAACATCTAAAAACAGTTCCTGCAGATTAGACAGCTGTTCCTCTTTCCAAGTTCTGTTTAATCTCAGCTGTGTATTTGCCATAGAATCGTTCTGCCTTTTTGTTGAATTTAGCATTCCTCTCATTGATGTAATCAATGTCTGCATCATCATTATAAGGACGTCTGCGGCTATATTTGTCTCGTTTCTCAATTCTGGGGAAGAAAGTAAGTTACATAATTGAAATTTGTCTTTTGTCATATTTTAATCGAACATGACCAAACATTTAAATAGAATAGAATACAAACAACAGAATACACTTTGGATAGCAAACGTTGAAAGAAGAGAGATTTAAAAAAGCCTAGTTCTCATCAAATTAAAACTGCCCAGCCCTGGTTGTGATACTTCAGTAAATATCAACTCATTTTCCAAATGCTTCTGAAAGAGCAATGATGCAATGCTAGAAACCTGTATACATGATGTATTGCGTAAAAGAAGATGGTTATTTTAGTTCAGCTCTGACTCACTGCAGGCCCATGTGTGTCACAGAACTGGGCTCCCCAGGGTTTCCACAGCTGAGTTTTTTAGAACTGGAGTGCTAGGCCTTTCTTCAAACGCACCTCTGGGTGGGTTCAAATCTCCAACCTTCAAGGTTAGCAGCTGAGCATATTAATGATTATTAATCATATAAATTCAAACCACACTAGAGTTTCAAATATTTCTTAACTTAGAACCTCCTACTTAGGTATTTAAGAAGCTCCAGTAGCATAGTGGGTTACGAATCGGGGCTGCTAACCTCAAGATCAGCAGTTCAAAACTACCAGCCATTTCATGGGAGAAAGATGAGGTTTTCTGCTCCCTTAAAGAGTTACAGCCTTGGTAACCCTATACAGGGTCGCTATGAGTTGGAACCAACTCCAGGGCTCATAGCCACCCCCACCACTTAGGTATTTAACATTTTAAATTGCTAAGAACAGATATTACAGTGGATCTTAACCAAAAGGCCAAAAGCGACAGGCATTTAGCATTTTTATCAGCACACAGAAAAAAAGTCTCTCTGGACTTATTAAAATAAACCTATTCTTGTGGTAATAGTGGAGTCTTAGTGTGGTGCTATAGGATAAGCACTGGACTGCTACCCACAAGGTCAGTGGTTCAGACCCACGAGGTAGTAATAGCATTGTAGTTTGCTTGTTCAAGTCTGTTGTCTTTCAGAAATACACACCGAAATTAGCAAGTATAGTCTCTGTCTGATCAATTCATTCTCAGCATTTCATGTCCATTTTGTCTTCATCGCAGGCTGCCCTACTGAATACTCACTGTTTTTCCAGATCTGTCACCATTCTGTCAATTTCCTCTGTGGAAGGCACATGTGTTCCATGGATAAGACTGTTAGATGTTGGGAAAAACTCTTCTCCACTGAAAAGACAGCAAAATAGGCTTATAGCAACCCTACAAATGCTCCACATTGTCAAAATTCAAACTAAACTAGCATTCATATGTATGTATTTATTGTGAGGGCGCTGTGGGTTAATGTGCCACACTGCAAAGCCGTTTGAGCTGAAAGGTCGGTGGTTCAAGCTCACCAGCCGCTCCTTGGAAACCCTACACAGGATCGGAACTGACTCGATGGCACTTAACAACAACAACAACTTAATGAAGAAAAAAACAGTAAAGAATTGGAAGGGACTTTAGAAATGATCTACCCCAATACCTTTGTTCTCCAGACAAAAGAACCCAGAGCCAGAGTTAAAGAACTAGGCTCAGGTTATTTTTCTCTCAACTAAAGCAGGAGTCGGCACACTCCAGCCTGCCACTTACTTGTGTGAAGTTTTATATGGAAAAATAGTGTTGTCAAGACTGAAGACCATTCTTAGACAGCTACTGACAAATTAACGCTAAAGTGCTTCTATTTATGTGTATGTGTGTGTGTGTGCACTGCATACATGCATATACAGGCACACAATACTACCTCAGGATGAATTCATCCTATCAACTTACTGTTTTTCTCTCTGTCTCTCATATGTTTCCATATCAGGTTTGATCTGTTTGGTCAATCGATGATACTGACGTAACTGGGCAGCAGCATAATCTAAAAATAAAATAAAAACCATAAATTAATGCACTACCATTGAGAGAAGAAGAAATATACCAAAACTACTACGTGATATATTCAAAAGAAATTAATCCAAGCACTATTTCTATCCAGAAGATGCAGATAATATGGGCATTAACCAATTTTATCATAAAACACAGAGAATTCAGCATTATACTTCTGTCATATGAGATATATTTGTATTATTTTTCCTAGGTTCCGGCTTCTTGGAGAACATTCCGTAAAGAAAACACAGGGGGCACATATACTTTTCTGAAACTAGAAACTGTGAGGGCCATGCTGATCTCTAAGGACCCTTCAGCAATTGTTTAAATGGCCACTTTTACCTGAAAATCCCAGGTCAGGATTTTTCTTCTTCTTCTTCCTCTCCCATCTTTCTGCATCTTCTGCACTGATCTCCAACAACTTCACTTTCTCATAGTCTTCTCCTTTGGCTGCACATTCCTGAAAAGAAAAAAGGAGCAAAAATTGCCATTATACTTGCAACCGCGACACAAGCTATCATTTGATTTATTTTAAATCGAGAGAGATCCAATAAAGATATCAAGAAATACTTTAAAAAGGAGAACAAACAAAATGGCAGATCGGGTGGACTTATAGCAGAGAGCTCCGCCAACAACAACACAGAATACCCGACCAAGTAGGCTCAGGGGATGGTCCCAGAACTCTGAACCACATATGAAGGAATACTTAGAAGGTTGGAAGGCTCACAGCTGGGGGAATTTGTGGCAGAAGCAAGAAATCTATTGCTTTCTAGTTTGGAACGCTCAGCTGCTCAAGGAGCCGCCATCTTGGGTGAGACCACGTGGGGAAAGATCGGAGCGGCCACAGACGCCTGGCAGAACCGCTGAAATAAAGGTGTGGACATTCTTCTCTGTTGGTATCTGTTCATTGGTCCCTTGCTGTCTGCGCACCTCCATTCTGGTGACTATAGGGGTGCCTGAGCTAGTGGGCACCCCAGCCCCACCCT